AAGACTAGGACATAATCTACTTTTAAGCCTCAGAGAAACCATTTCCTCCTAAAACATCTCCGGCATCCAAGATTTATTTTATCACCCAAATGTGACTTTTAATACATTTATACTCTGAAAATAATGCTACAAATATAATAGTCAGGTCAGTACATTTCAAATCAGGAAGTATCTTGGACTTTTGTTTGCAATGCTCAATGTCCCCATTTATTTCTAATGGAACTTTCACAGCAAATATGTTTTCTTATAGCCCTTTCCCCCATCCACTGCTAGTCTTTGAGCCCAGTCAAGAGACTGAGCATCCATTATTTGTTTATTCTGGAATATATTTACTTTTATTTTTCATTTTTTATTCATTTTATTTGAGGAAGCTGAAAAAAAATTCTTCGCTTCTCTCATCTTGCATTTCCAATGACTTTACCACACAGAGAGAGGTCAAAGTAGATTAAAACAGCGACGATTGGGCCCACCACTGCTGACCTGACTGCTTTCAATAATGAACATTTAATCCAGGTTAGCAAACAAAGTGAGCCTACACCGAAGGGTCACGGGGAGGATGGGGCTTCTTGCTTCTGAGAGTGGGTTTTAGTGCTTGCTGGCATCATCTTCAGCAACTTCCACTGGGAGCGTCTATTTCAGCGGGGGGGGGGGGGGGCGGGGGCTGTGTCCCTGGGTCTCTAAGTTGGGGAGGAGGTCTCTAAGTTGCGAGGAGCCCTCGCACTGGCTTCCTGGCTGAGCTCAGGGGCCAGTTCGTCTGCGAACCCTTCTCCATTCTCTCTACTGCCCAGTCGCTCTCCCTCCTCCACTTCGGTCACTCTCCCCGCGGTTTCGTTGCATTAAAGCACCTTCCCGCTTCCCTGGAGCTAGTTCCCTCTTTGGGCGTTCCTGGGGGTTTGCACTCGCTTGTCTATTTGTCAGACGTTGTCTTGCACCTTGCCACTTCTAAAATTTTTTTATGACCAATTTCCTTATTTTCAAGTGTGGCGTAGCGGGATCGCCTTTGTAAAAGCTGTGCCTGTGGAGTAAAGTGGGGTGATTTTATGAAGCCTTACATAAAGCACTCGCGCTGCTTTTATTTTTAATTTTTTAAAACAAATTTTGTAAAGAAAAGAAATTCAGGCTGCTTGACTCTGATTTCGAACCGAACAACGCACCTCCCAGTGTTCATGAAAAAACAGAAAACTGGATCGGCCTGAGCCGATCCAGACTCGCGCCATGAACCACCCCCCAAACCAGCCCGGGTGCCAAGGCGAGAGATTCTGCCCAGGCGGGTTCCGGGTACCTCAGCGAAGGCAGCCCGCGTTCGGTCCGGGTTCTTTTCCCGCAAAATCAAATCGCGCACCCGCGGGGCCAGAATGAAGTTCGGTCGGCTGGTGGCTGGTCTAGTTTTCTCCTGGAGACCTTGAATTGTGTGGGCCCCGGGGAACATCTCACTCAAACATCTGCATGTTTCCTTTGCACCCGTATAACTCCCCGAAATAATCGCATCGGAGATCAAAAGGAGGCCGACAAGTGAAGCAAGGGACTGGTTCTAGCACCTGCCTTCATCGTTCAGGGGTCAAATGGGCACAGTAACCCCCCCCCCGCGACCTTCTCAGATGCCATCCCCCAGTCCCCAAAGGACAGTCACCTCTTTATGCTCTCCCCTGGCAAGCTGCTTGCCTCGCCTGCTCCCCCTGCCTTGGGATGCCTGGGCCAGTTCCTAGGATCATTTAGAGGCCCTCACAGTGGTCCAGCCCCAGGTGGGCTAGGGGACTGCGGGGTCTCAGCCTTCTTCTCCAGCCCCGAGGCTTCCGCTGTCCTAACTTGGTTGCCGCTTAGAGCGTGTAACACCTTCACCAAACCCAAACCAAAACGCGGAATCTGCGAGATGTTTACCTTTGTGCCCTCAGTCGCTACCAGAAGCTGCACCAGAGCCAAGGAGAGATCCAAGCTGCAGGCCCGAAGATTAAGATTTAGAGACATTTCTTTGCCTTCTGCGGTCCCACCTTCGAGCCACTTGGTCCTCGGTCCAGCCGGCAGCGCGGGAACTTGCGGAGCCAAGCCGGGACCCGACAGGGGGCGACAAACTGTAAGGTTTTCCCGAGGCTGGAGGGGCAGAAGGCTAGTGTAGTTGAGACCTGCTCAGCCGCTGGCTGGGGGAGGGGACTCCGGTGGGCAAAGGCAGGATGCTTTAGCTTAGCCAGCGAGTTCCCTGCTCCCTGGTGCAGCCCCTCAGGCCTTCTCTTTATCTTCTCTCCGCGGTGGGGCGGCCTTTCCTGGGGGTGTCTGAACGACCGCACTTGTTGCCAGCGCCCAGCGCTGGTGGATATTCTTCTAAAAAGGGTAGCTGGGGGGAACGGTGGCAAGGCTCGTTTTATCTGCCTGTCGCCTATAGACTCCTCACCTATGGCACTTTAGCTACTTTTCTGAATTACTGGAATGCATTGGGTTCAGGTACACAAGCAGCGCTTCTTGTTTCTCTTTCCTTAGAGAGCTCAGGTGAAGGAAGACACATTTCTTGGTATCCCTTGCTCGCCTTGAAATTCGGAAAATGAGTCTATATTAGAGGCTATCGGGTTCCAAAATATCTAGAGAAAACCGACGATGGGGGCGTCCCTACTCCTTAAAGCCACGGAGAGCTGCGCTGTGCTTTCACCCTTCTGTTTGGTGCCTCAGCAGAGCTCCTTTCTCCAGCATGCTCATCTTGCTCTAAAGCATCCCCTAGATCCTTACTTGAATGCTGCTGCTGCTGCTCTGTTCTGGACAGCCCTTGCCTTCCAAATGGGTATTCTTTCTTCCACTCTGGTACCCTGGAGGGAGTAAGGTCTCCCCAAACCTCTTCCAAGTCCCTGCAACCTCTCCTAGACTCCTAGACCCCAGGAAACATCCTCAATTCTTTTGCAACTGGCTTTTCTTTTTCCAGCAGTGTTTTCTGCCATGGCCTCCAGCCCAGCCTGAACACCAGCCTCACCCAGCTTACTGGGTATTGTCCACTCTCTCCAGAAAGTCCAGAACTTTATGGTTCAGCCCCTCATAACAAAAATTCCCATAGGCTGATTGAGGGCCAACAAGTCTCTCTCTCTCTCACTCTCTCTCTCTCTCTCTCTCTCTCTCTCTCTCTCTCTTTCTCTCCCTCCTAGAGGAGAGAGACAGGTCAGAGCCTCCACAGAGAATCCTGAGGTATGCTGACAGGATCAATCTTCCTGAGTCTTGGGCTGCACCACTAGGTCTGGTCAGCGAATAGCTTCTGTGCTGCTCTGAAGAGCTAGGCCCTGGAGGGATATATGTGTGTTGGTAAGGAGAGATGCTTTCTTGATTACTGAGGAGTGTTTAGAGCTCTCAGGAATCCCAGGAACACTTGCTGTTTGTATGTTCCTTCCAGACTCTTTCCTGCTTCTTCGTGACCAGCCCAAAGCTCTTGGCATCTACTGTTCTCACTTCGAACTCCCAGGTTTCAGCACCAGGCATTAATTCAGGTGTGAAACTACAAGATATCCCCTATACTCTCCTGGCCCCATCCTTGCGGCTCCTACGGGGTTGTGGTAGATACCAGGGCTAGTTGGGAAAGCCCAGAACTGTGCATTGGTAGGGAGTAGGTGAGTTGGCTTTTAATGCCAGGGCCAGAGACTTAAGGGCTATGCAAACTGCCACTTAAGTAGAGAAAGAACCCCTGGTAGTTTAGACCTTCTCCAAGTTGCTAGCGCTAGGGAGAGGCTAGATCAGACTGGTCAGGATGGAAGGATGCAGGATTTCATGGCCTGGCTGAAAAGAGCTGTCTTTCTGGCCAGGAGCTCAGTCATTTAACCTTCTGCAGACAGCCAGGATGCTTGGGGGAGGGGAACAACAGGTTGGACTGTCTTTCCTGCTTGCTCTCTATGTCACTTCTTGGAGAGGAATGAGTTCTGGTGGGTGGGCTTTGTCATTAGAGACAGAATCTGGAATGTGCCCCTTTCAGGTCATTGAGATCACTTCATATTACTCCAAGGGAGCTGGTGACTATTAGAAGCTAAAGACTTTCTTGAGAACAGGGTGGAAGAGTAAGACAGAAATAAGAGTCAGTTCCAGGACCAGCCACGGGAACCATCCTTCCCAGGTACCCTACCAAAATGAACCAACCCTTCCTTCTTTCTTCCTGCCCTGATGGTCCACCAACCATGATATCAGCTAACTTATCTCTTGCTTCTGCCAGGGGAAGGGGGTGATTGAGGAAGCCACACACTAAAGACCTTGCCAGGATCAACTTCTATCTTCTGTGTTAGTAATAGTGGTAGAGGTGGGCACAAAATTAAACCAAAACTAAAACTAGCAGTGATGCATAAGCAGTTTGAAATGGCTTCTTTACCATTCCCAAAGGGGGCTGGGGAGGCTGTAAGGAGTTACAAGAGATTGGATGGTCCAGGGACCTGGCAGCTGGGTTTGGGATAGTGCATGTTCCTGAAGTGTGTGTGTGTGTGTGTGTGTGTGTGTGTGTGTGTGTGTAGAAGGGGATTACCTTTACCTGTGACCTGGGCTCAGCCCAAACGCGTTTTCTACAAGGCACCTCCTCCTACCCCTACAGGGCTTACTCTCTGAGTCTGTCACATACCCAGCTAGGTCTAGGCACACAGGAAGGCCCTGTCCTCAGCACTAAAGTGCTGGCTAGAAAGATGACAGCTTGGCTTAGCTCACAAGCTCCCATCAGGCCCAGAACAATGTGTGCAGCTCTACTCTTGGGCTTTAGCCACAATTCAAGCCGCGGGGGGGGCTGTATGTAGAGACAAGAGAGAGGAGGGTCTAGTGAGCTGGCAGCTGGGTGTGTGATAGTGCATGTTTCTGAAGTGTGTGTGTGTGTGTGTGTGTGTGTGTGTGTGTGTGTGTTTTCCGGAGGTGGGGTGGAGAAAGGCGGAGGGGGGAGGCCAAGAGGAGGGGTAGAGTTTCTGGGCGGGGAGGGGGGCGCCGGGGTGCGGTGACGGGAACCAATGAGCTGCCAACTCTCGAGTCTCCGGCGTGACTGCAGAGATTGACGTGGAGGACACGTCAAATTGATTCTCGCAACGCCGCAGCTTCCCGGTCAGACGAATTTCTCCCAATCGGATGAAGTTGACCCTGGGCTTGGGGTCGCGGGCCTGGAGAGTGTCGTGGGAGCGGGAGGCGGCGGCAGACCCCCGGGCAGACGGCGGGGTGCTGGGCAGCGGCGCACTGCGCTTTTCCAGCCCGCGGCCCGGCCGCCGCGGCTCTAGGCTCGCGCGCGCCCTCCCTCTATGCCTCTCCGGCGGTGGCGGCGCCCGAGCTCTCCCGGACTGCGCCGGGCCCAGCCCCCGCCGTTCCGGCGTCAGGCAGCTGGCCCGCCCGCGCGCTATGGGTAAGGGCCGAGCTGCCGGCCGGGCCCGGGCGGGCGAGGTGCGGGGTCCACACTCTCCGCCTCCCTTCCCTCTGATCCGCGTTCCCGGGGCAAAAAGGTGCTGGGTCTCGAACGACCCGCCTTCTCCATTTGTCCTCAGCCCTCGAGGGGACCGTCCCTTAAGTTCAGGAAGGGGGTAAAGATGGGACGCAAGTCGCGAAACAGCACCGAGGGCTGAAACACGAAATGCCTCCCTCTGGGGTCCCCGACTTTCCCTGGCGCTCTGGGATCTGGTTCCAGGCGTTTGGCCTCAGAATCTGAGATGTCGGGGGTGGGCTGGGAGGGGGGGGATCTGCGGGTGACCTTGAGAGTCGCACGGGGTGCAGTCCACAGCCCCGCGAGACCACCGTTCGCTAACCGCTGGTGTTTTCTCCCCCGCCGGCTCACTCCCATTCTGCGCGTCCGCAGAGCAGACGTACGGCGAAGTGAACCAGCTGGGTGGCGTGTTTGTCAACGGCCGCCCGCTGCCCAACGCCATCCGATTGCGCATCGTGGAGCTGGCACAGCTGGGTATCCGACCCTGTGACATCAGTAGGCAACTCCGTGTCTCCCACGGCTGCGTGAGCAAGATCCTGGCGCGGTATAACGAGACGGGCTCCATCCTACCCGGGGCCATCGGGGGCAGCAAACCGCGCGTGACCACCCCCAATGTAGTCAAACACATCCGGGACTACAAGCAAGGAGACCCTGGCATCTTTGCCTGGGAGATCCGCGACCGGCTACTGGCCGACGGAGTCTGCGACAAGTACAATGTGCCCTCGGTGAGCTCCATCAGCCGCATTCTGCGCAACAAGATCGGCAGCCTGGCGCAGCCCGGGCCCTATGAGACAAGTAAGCAGCCGCCACCGCAGCCTGCGCTGCCCTACAACCACATCTACCAGTACCCCTACCCTAGCCCAGTGTCGCCCACGGGCACCAAGATGGGCAGCCACCCCGGGGTCCCCGGCTCAGCAGGCCACGTCAGCATTCCGCGTTCATGGCCCTCGGCACATTCGGTCAGCAATATCCTGGGCATCCGGACGTTTATGGAGCAAACAGGTCAGTCATGATGTCTTCTGCAACCCTCTACGAAGGGACAGAATTGGGGGCGGGAGGACCATGAGAGATGATCGAGGGGTTAACATGCCCTTCTTCTCCAAGGACCGAGTTTGGCTCAGAAAGTAGTTCAGAACTGGCCTCACAGGCTGAGGGTCCAGAACCTTCTGTGGGAGTCTTTGGACATCTTGAACTTTTTATGACAAATATGGAAAATATTTCCCAAATAGAAAAGCAGTCTCAGACCACAAATTCAGAGGCCTGAAATTGTGCTTTTCCATTCTTGCAAAAAGAATGCAAATGCCTATCGCCAAATCTAAGCCAAACAAATGGCTGGGGCCATCCTGTGACCCTTTGTTTAGCTTTCAGCATCCTTCAAGGATTCTCTCTGAGCTTCCTTAGGAACCAGTGGCTCTTTTGAGTAAAAGGGAAAGGGCCTGGGTAGTGTGGCCCAGATCACTGTCAGGTTCAGAGGCCTTGTAGTACTCTTTTGGATGGGGGTAAAGGTGTCTCATTCCCTGCAGGGACAGTCTTAATGACTTTGCCTGCAGTTAAAAACCATCAAATGTTGGTAAACTCTGTTGGCTGTAAAAGGCTGTAGATTTCAGGCAATTTTGATGCTTCTGGCCTGAGGCTATATGTGCAGCATGGTCTCCTGCCAAGCAGCGGGTCCTGGGGACCATGTTCCCTTTCTTACCCCAGCAGACTCAGGAGGAGAGAAAGCAGCAAACAGCTCAGGAGAAATGAAAGAAAAAAGTGGGCTGGTAGCCCTGGACGCAGTGGGGCAGCCTCAGAGCCACTGTTCCTCGGAGTGGCTCTATCTCACTCAGTCTGGCACCTCCGTGGGAACCAAATCTTCCCGTGGAGCAGCAGCAGCAGCTGGTTGGGAGGTGGTGTTACCAGGGCTGCGTCCACATCTGGAGATTGCCTTCTACTGAGGGTACACACCTGAGCTGGGAGCCGCTTACTTGCTTGGGCCGTCAAGGCGTGGGTCCTAGGGCCGATGCATCATTCCGGACACTAAGATTGTCTGTCTCCAGAGCCAGTTGAGGAGCAAAATGGTCTCCCAGCTCTTTTTAAGCTAATTACGACTTTGAGAGGCTTACAAAAATTTCTTTCAGTGAGGTTGCTTGACCTTGAATTTAGACCTTTCTGGCCCTCACTTCCCTACAGTAGGGGAACTGACTCCAGGTATGCGTAGCCCAGCAGTACTCCTGCCTTTTCGCAAGAAGCGGGTCGAGGGTTGTGAGAAAAGAAGGGCAGGCTACTTCGCTTTTCATTCCTCCGCCCTGCTAGGAGCGAAAGCGAAACTCAGACCCCGTCACCCCTCCATCTTCGAAGGCCTTGGGAGCGCGAGGCAGCCTCCAGGTGCCGAGGGTGACATCTGGCAGCTTTTTAGGATTCTAGTTGGATCTTTGGCTTGTGTGAAAACATCTGGGTTAGAGGTCTACACGTGTGCACAGGCTTCCACTCCATCCAGTGTTCCCCACAGGGGCGCTGGCCGGGAGCGAAGGGGCCGCCTACTCCCCCAAGATGGAAGACTGGGCCGGGGTGAACCGCGCAGCCTTCCCAGCCACACCTGCAGTGAATGGGCTTGAGAAACCTGCCTTGGAGGCGGACATAAAATACACTCAGGTAACGTGAACGCAGGCATGGTCGGAGGTGACCTTCCCTAGGCCAGAAGAAGTCTTGGGGAAAGAGAGGGAGAGAGGGAGAGGGGGAGAGAGAGGGGGGGAGAGGGAGAGAGAGAGAGAGAGAGAGAGGGGGGGGAAAGGGAAGAAGAAAGGGGGAGAAGAGAGGAGGAGAGGAGAGGAGAGGAGAGGAGAGAAGAGAAGAGAAGAGAAGAGAAGAGAAGAGGAGAGAGAGAAAGAGAGAGAGAGAGAGAGAAAGAGAGAGAGAGAGAGAGGAGGAGAGGAGAGGAGAGGAGAGGAGAGAAGAGAAGAGAAGAGAAGAGAAGAGAAGAGAAGAGGAGAGAGAGAAAGAGAAAATGAATGAATCTCAGGCAGGTTTTGCACAGTCTGGTCTGGGAGTGTCTTCCAGCTGTCTACTGCTGTCCTCTCCCGCAGGTCCTAGTTTGGGCAGCCTGGGGCAATTTGGGGCTGGTTTGCCTTTTGCTAAAAAGCTGGAAGCCCCCTTTTCTCTAAACCCGGATGGAGGGTTACCACGACTTCCTCACTTTTGTTAGACATTTGAGTGGAGGTTTTTTTAGAAATCAGTTTTCCAGGGAGGCCTAGCAGTGACAAGCAACAAGAAAGAAACGAGCAGCAAGCAGCGTGTCGCCGTGGCGCATGCTGAAGAAGCCGGGAGGCGTTATCTGACTCAGGCCGTCTGTCCTCTTTATCCCCAGTCGGCCTCTGGCCTCTCAACAGTGAGCGGCTTCCTTCCGGCCTGCGCCTACCCCGCTTCCAACCAGCACGGAGTGTACAGCGCGCCCGGTGGCGGCTACCTCTCCCCCGGCCCGCCCTGGCCACCCGCGCAGGGACCGCCGCTGGCGCCTCCTGGGGCTGGAGTGGCGGTGCACGGCGGGGAGCTCGCGGCAATGACCTTCAAGCATCCCAGCCGAGAAGGTGAGGGGCACCTACAGAAAGCCAGGTGGATACTGTTTGGGAGCCTGGAGAAAGGGAGGAGAGGGAGGAAGGGGGAGGGTCAGGAAGAGACAAAGGGAGGAAGAGGGGGTGATAGAAGGGAAGGAATAGAGGGACACAGAAGGAAGGAGGAAGGAAGGGAGGGAGGAGAGAGAGGGGGAGAGAGAGAGAGAGAAGAGAAGAGAGGAGAGAGAGGAGAGGAGGAAGAGGAAGAGGAAGAGGAGGAGGAGGTGGAGGAGGAGAGGAGTAGAGAGGTTCATTGCTGACAGGTGTCTCTAAGAAATGGACACCAGAGGCTGAGAGAGTTCCCAAAACTTCCCCCTTGACACTACAGAGAGGAGGAAGAGGGTCAAACAAGAGTGATCAGTGTTCTTATACCCTTTATCAAGTTATTGCTCCTTTCTGACCTCCCCTAGAAGGGTCTGAGTGGCACCCTCCAGGCCTACATTGTGCAGCCTGCAAAACATTGCTTTCTGTGATGGACCTGTTCTGGCACTTTAAACTTACAGGTGGGGCTGGCCCTGTTAGTGGCACCCAGACCCCCACACCTAGACTTTTCCTTTGGTCACTGCCCACATGTTTCTTCCCTTTTAAACTTGGCCCCCACATTCCCTTCCATTCTTTTTCTTCAGCACAGTTCTGTGAGGAAAGCATAAGCATCTCAACCTTGCATTTCAGCCCAGATCCTTTGAATGCCATTTTTGGAGTTCTTTATTTCCGAAGGCAGTGTGCCTGGGAGTGAAGGCATACCTCTTCTTCTGTAAATCTATTCCTTAAAAAAGACAACTAGGAGATTTAATCCATGGGGCTGCTATGAATTAAATTATATTGTCCTTGTTTTTCACTGAATTTTGGCAAATGTTCACCTGCCCTTGACTCTGTCAATTTTGAGGATGCTTATATTAGACTCTATTAAAAAAAATAAACTTTATTCCCTTCCCCATGTGTCCCCTGAGGGAGTCCCAGCCCTTGCATAGGAGACCCTGCACAGACCTACAGGAGGTATGCTCTGGGATTTGGTAAGAGTCTTTGCTGGTTGATCTGCCCCACACCTGCCAAGGCTGGAGGGAGTGATAGTGGAAGTTGGTGGGTAGGCAGATGCTAGTGCCCTCCCTTTGGCCAAAAGCACTATTTTCAAGAAGTTTTGGTGAGGCAGTGACATGATCTAGGGGGTCTGGGGCGAATATCAGGGTGCCATTCACAGCAGTGGGGCAAAGAAAGAAAACAGCTTTTCAATTTGACCTTTCCTAGAAGAACACACACATACTGGAATATTAAGATGATACCCATTTGCCTAATTATTCAGAAATCCAAGTAAAGAAAGTTTACAAAACTGGACAATTAATTTTAACTTAAACACCTTCCTTAAAAGGTTCAGATAAAGTATTATGGAATAATTCAGACCCATCACAATGAATGATTTTCAAGCTAGCGTGCAAGCGTTTGTGCTAAGGACTGTAAAAAAAATTGTTCATTACAATTTCAATAATAGAATAGTTTGCTCATTTAGAGGAAAAATCTAAGAAAGAGAGAATTCTAAAAAACAGAATTTGAACTCCCATTAGCCCCACATCTAAGGACAGCTAAAAGGCTTCTGGGTGAAGCCTTCACTCAGGTTGCTGTCCTTAACTGTACTGGTTACTACCCATAGCTGTTGATAATCTAGACTGAAGTAAGATTTGCCTCACTGTGTAAACTACTTAGTTGAGCAGGTTTACTTGTATTAAAATAGTATAACCATGAATTTAAATGATTTCTTCTGGGTTGATCTCAAGGCAAAGTAAGACAGTGTCCTTTAACTTTAGAGGGAAGTAGTCAGTTTTCAGAAGGGCCACAAGGTCCTAAAGGTTCTTCAAGCTCCACTTTAGAAACCGATGATTAAGTGTGGATGAGATCCAAAGGTGACCATACAGTCACTCAGCTAAAGTGCTTGTAATCAACTTGGAAGGGGACCTGACTTAACATTTGGATTAATTTCTTCTTTTCTTTCTTTCTTTCTTTCTTTCTTTCTTTCTTTCTTTCTTTCTTTCTTTCTTTCTTTTTTCTTTCTTTCTTTCTTTCTTTCTTTCCTTTCTTTCTTTCACTTTCTTCCTTTCCTGTCTTCCTCCCTCCCTTCATTTTTTATTTCCTTATTTCCTTCTTTTCTTTCTTTTTTTTCCCTCTGAGACAGGGTCTTCCAATAACCCCAGCTGGCCAAGAACTTGCTATGTAGACCAGGCTGGGCTTGATCTCTAGGATGCTAGGATTAAAGGTACTCCCATACCTGGCTTCTGGTTGCTTTTCTTTATCAGATGCCTTTCAGAAACACAGAATATCCCATGGTGTTGGCAAGGGTGTTGAATCATCCTATCTGTTTCCTACTATGAAACATCCTGTCTTAAAAAATCTACAGCCATAGTTAGCTACCTTGGTTATTAAATTAATAACCTGGTGTTTCAATCCACACCTTCCTTAAAAGGTTCAGATAAAGTATTATGGAATAATTCAGATCCATCACAGTGAATGATTTTCAAGCTAGCATGCAAGCGTTTGTGCTAAGGACTGTAAAAAAATTTGTTCATTACATATTTTCACAGCATGAAAATTTCATACACACCTGGAGTGTGAATTTTCACTCTTCTCATTGGCAGACAAACAGACCTCAGAGATTGTCCTCAAGCTAGCCTTTGAAAAAACATGGCAGAAATTTACAAATTACTGACATTTATTTTTCAATAATTTCTTAAGCAATTAGTATCTTCAAGGAAAGCAACCCCATAAGAGAATATACTACCATTAATTTTTGTTCAATTCAGAATAGTAGGATTCACATTTAGTAACCTCTCAGTACAAAGTTTTCTTTGCTAAGACTATATGAAGTCATATTAATATGAATATAAATATACTCAGTAAAAATCAAATGCTTTTGATAATCTACTTTGGCCCCACTAACACAATATGCACTAGAGTGTCCTCAAAATTAGGTGCAAACAGGCATCTTACTAGTTTTCATGCCTAGAGTCATATTCAATGTCAGCTTATGCGTTACAATTTATTAACTTTATCTTGATGAAAGGTAGTTAGCCTGGGTTCCCTACTGTGGAGGTAAGAAAGTATGATTTGTGTTTTCTGGCTCCAGGAAGGAAGCTATAGTTCTTGGGAACGGAGAGAAGAATAGAACCCCATGTCATCTTCACAGGGAGGGGTGGTGACATTCTAGGAGACTCTACACCCACACAAAAGTCTTTGTCCTGGGACCTTCCTCCCCAAGGTGACTGGTCCAGTGACCTGTACTCAGTATATAGCAAGTATTCACAGCATGGTTCAGAGACCAGAGAAACTTTAGGGTTATAAAATAATTCCCAGCAAGGTTTTGCAAAAAGTGAAGATTTGGAAATCAAAACGGAGAGTGTTAATTTTTTTGTTTCCAGTAAGAAAACTTGCAGAAAGAAAACTTGGTATTTTTATATCCGTTTAAAGATAGCTTTAGTCTGATAACTCTGATCCAGGGTTAGTTCTTGGAGAAAATTAAAAGAGCATTTTCTCAGGAATCACCAGCTGACTTCCGGAAGCTCTGGAACGTCTCTGCCTAGTCCCCTCTCATTTGACCTAGCCTCCGTGCTTCTCTGGTTCTTTATCTCCTTGAGAACTCAGTCTCAGAGACTAGAGTCTGCAGAACGACCCCGGCTCCGAGTTCCCCTGATGGTACCCACCCACATTTCCCAGGGTCCCCTGGAAGACTATGGGAGGTAGGCGGGGTCTGAGATGACTGAGCTGGAAACAGCAGGGTTCGCCCTGAAGGTGGGTGGAATCCTCTCCTGGTTCTGGGTGTTTATTTGTCAACAGTTCATTTTCTCCACTTATCTCTAAGGTAACATGCTTTTGCTTGAGAAAACTCCTTCTCCTCCTCCCCAGATGTTTTCTAAACAGATCCTCGTTTATTGAAGTGTACGGAGGGGGAGGAAAGAAAAGGTCTAGATAATTGTTAGTCCTTCAGTCATAATTGTTTAGGAAAGAGCTGCGAGTCAGGGAGGCACCTAGGGTGTTCAGCCCTGGAAAGTCTTCAGACGTCTTCAGAATCTCTTCACAGCCAGGGGTGTG